TGGTTAACTTTATTTAGGGAAAATTTTTATTTTATTTTTTCCACGATATCAACCCATAAATTTCATTATTATCCATTATTCTATATCTCAAGAAAAGAAATTGTACTGGATACGATTACGAAGGCAAAAGCAAAAAGAAAAGCACCTGAAGTGGAAAACCAATCAGAGGCTCTGGCCAGCAGTGAAGGGTTTCCGTTTCGAAATGGAAAGCTCTGAACTCCCTAGACAAGCTTGACACCTCAAATCGAAAGCTCTTGAAAAAAAGTATTCTTTAGCTGTCTGGAATTCTTGATCCAACGCTGAAAATACCCGATCAGAACTTTACAGAAATCAAACTTTGTTTATAAACCACCACTTTTTCTCCTTCTCTATCATCGTCAAATCGTATCAGTTAAATCGAAGTCAAATCTCTACAAAGTTTCTCTCTCAAACTATTAAAGTATATAAGCTTTTTCCACAGTTACTTTTTATTTTGTTTGAGTTGCTATGGCCGGCAAAGCCGAAGGTCCGGCGATTGAATCGATCTCGGGACGACTTACTCGTGCGTTGGTGTTTGGCAACATGATCGCGTGGAGATCATAGCCAATGATCAGGGGAACAGAACGACGCCATCTTAAGTGGCTTTTACTGATACCGAGCGTTTGATTGGCGATGCGGTTAAGAATCAGGTTGCCATGATCCTATCAACACTGTTTTCGGTAAGCCATCAGCACTTTTTAGACCATTAATTAATTCTTCAAATATAGTTTAATTTTTCTCGTTTACTGCATGTTTAGTTTTAGAATGAATTTTCGTGTCAAAGGGTAAGTCTCTGTTCACTCTCTGCATTAGATCTGATAATAGGCTGGATTTTTAGGTTTTTTCTTTCCGATTTGGCCATTTTTTGTTCAATGCTAGATTTATGAAATTTAATTTTGTTAATAAAGAAAATATAAATGTGATTTTACGCTTATTTTTACTTGCTCAATCCACAAAAGCTTTTAAAAAGAAATTGAATTTTCTAATTTTTAAATTTTAATGTTTTAATTGTTTTATTTGGCGGGGAATTTTGTGCTTATATTTGATTGTTGTTGCTGCATCATTTTCCAGATGCTAAGCGTCTGATTGGTAGAAGATTCAGCGACTCTTCGGTCCAGAGCGACATGAAGCCGTGGCCATTCAAGGTCATTCCTGGGCCTGGAGACAAGCCCATGATTGTCGTCACCTACAAAGGAGAAGAGAAGCAATTTGCCGCTGAAGAAATCTCGTCCATGGTTCTCATGAAGATGAAAGAAATCGCCGAGGCCTATCTCGGGTCCACCATAAAAAACGCCGTCGTTACTGTCCCGGCATACTTCAATGACTCCCAGCGTCAAGCCACGAAAGACGCTGGTTTCATTGCTGGCCTCAACGTTATGCGTATTATCAATGAGCCAACGGCTGCAGCTATTGCCTACGGGCTTGATAAAAAGGCGGGAGGTGCAGGGGAAAAGAACGTGCTTATTTTTTACCTTGGTGGGGGTACTTTTGATGTCTCATTGTTGACAATCGAAGAAGGGATTTTTGAAGTGAAGGCTACAGCAGGAGATACCCATTTGGGAGGAGAAGATTTTGATAATAGAATGGTGAATCATTTTGTGCAGGAGTTTAAGAGGAAACACAAGAAGGATATTAGTGGGAACCCAAGAGCTTTGAGAAGGTTGAGAACAGCTTGTGAAAGAGCTAAGAGGACATTGTCTTCAACTGCTCAAACTACAATTGAGATTGATTCTTTGTATGAGGGGATTGATTTTTACACGACAATTACCCGAGCTCGATTTGAGGAGTTGAATATGGATCTGTTCAGGAAATGTATGGAGCCAGTAGAGAAATGTTTGAGGGATGGTAAGATGGACAAAAGCAGGGTTCATGATGTTGTTCTTGTTGGTGGCTCTACTAGGATTCCAAAAGTTCAGCAATTGTTGCAAGACCTTTTCAACGGGAAAGAGCTTTGCAAGAGCATTAACCCTGACGAAGCTGTTGCTTGTGGAGCTGCTGTACAAGCTGCAATTTTGAGTGGTGAGGGTAATGAGAAGCTTCAAGATTTGCTGCTTTTGGATGTCACCCCCCTTTCCCTCGGGTTGGAAACTGCTGGTGGAGTCATGACTGTGTTGATTCCAAGGAATACCACTATCCCAACCAAAAAGGAACAAGTTTTCTCTACCTACTCGGATAACCAACCTGGATTTTTGATTCAGGTTTACGAGGGTGAAAGGACAAGAACCAGGGATAATAATCTGCTTGGGAAATTTGAGCTTTCTGGCATTCCTCCGGCGCCTGCTGGTGTTCCTCAAATCAATGTCTTCTTTGACATTGATGCCAATGGTATTTTGAATGTCTCTGCTGAGGATAAGACCACTGGGCAGAAGAACAAGATCACCATTACCAATGATAAGGGTAGGCTATCCAAGGAAGAGATTGAGAAGATGCTGCAAGAAGCGGAGAAATACAAGTCAGAGGATGAGGAACACAAGAAGAGAGTTGAGTCCAAGAATGCTCTTGAAAATTATGCTTATAACATGAGGAACACAATCAGGGATGAGAAGATCATTTCCAAGCTTCCACCTGCAGATAAGAAAAAGATCGAGGATGCGATTGAGCAGGCTATCCAATGGCTTGATGGAAACCAGCTGGCTGAGGCGGATGAGTTTGAAGACAAGATGAAGGAGCTGGAAAGCATTTGCAACCCGATTATTGCCAAGATGTACCAGGGAGCTGGTGGTGGTATGGGTGCTGGAGCTATGGACGAGGATGGTCCGTCTGTCGGTGGTGGAAGCGGCCAAGATGTACCAGGGAGCTGGTGGTGGTATGGGTGCTGGAGCTATGGACGAGGATGGTCCGTCTGTCGGTAGTGGAAGCGGTGCTGGGCCTAAGATCGAGGAAGTGGATTAATCTAGACATGGTTTTCAGGGGTCTGGTGTTACGACTGATGGATTTTGTTGTTTTACTTTAAATATAGTTTTTTTGTGTGTAATAGTTCTCTTCTACCTGTGGAGTAGCACCGTTGCTTAAAAACTAAATATATAAGTGACCTTTTTCCCAGCTTGAATGGTCTGCTGCTTCTTGATTTCCATTTTATCACTTTTTCGTCTCATTAATTTTTTTTTTTTATTGTTTTGTATGCGTAGTCACTATAATGTTGAGACTGTATCTAACTCTATCTGACAATTTTAGTCAGTGATTTATATCAGACACGTTAAGAATAATTTTGACATAAAATAACACAAAATATTTAAATGATATAAATAATTTAAATATGAATATAATATATTTATTATATGTAATCTAATTGACACTATATGATTAGTATATTTAAAATTAATTTATATTTCAATAACATGATAAAATACAATATAATTAATATAATTATATATGAATAATATGATTAAATATTATTAATTTATATATTTAAACAAAAAATATTATATAAATGAATATTTATTTAAACATTAAAAATTTATTTAAATATTAAAATAATACGAAAAATATAATTATTAATTTATTTTTTTAATAAATTAAAAATTTTTTTATGTTATGAATAATTTCATATTTTTAGCATGTTATTATTGTTTGACATATATTCGACACAAATAAATGTCATGCTTTAACTATGTCAATTCGATTAAGATACAAAATATTATTATATTAAATTCATATACGATTTTTTTTTACTGTATCATGTTTAAAATTACCATATTAACTTAAAAATGATCTCTAATAAACGTTGAGGTAGAAAGAAATATAGTGCAAGAATATGGCAAGTATAATATACAAATTTTATCAAAACGTTAAGATATATATCCATCGCTCTTCTTTTGCCGTGCATAACGAGAAGAAAAAATGCCACTTCGTGAAATAATATCCTCAATGTCTTAAAAAGATACAAAAGCTAGAAAATCAGGCCAACGAGCCATCAGATGGGTCAATAAAAGTAATAGGAATAAAAAAAATTGCAGAGGGTATAGGAAAAATGAGGAATTGCATTCACCTTAACGTACAGCAAGTATGATAAGGTGGTACACTTGAATTTCAATGTTGACGCTTGAAAGTAGTCCTGGATCCATGCTATTTGCTGCAAGATGGGAAACATTATAAAGATCATTATGAGATGCAAGTGATGCAGCAACAGTTAAAGAGGAAAATGTAAATTTATTTCATTAAAAAATATTCCTTTGGTACAAAATAATGGAAAATTTACCACAACACCTATCTTTGTATTTCTCCAATGAAAGCCTCAATGGAAAGTCAAGACAGCAGAAGCTCATTGGGTCCAAGGTGAGGACGAAGGCAGACGTGAACCTCGTGTTCTTCTGGACCTGCACGGTGCTTTGGCACTATGATTTCAAGACCAGTTCCTGTTTCATCACCATATGCTTCTAGCGTAGCATCATCCGGAATCCTGGTTGGTAGAGATATTTCCCTTATGAACTCTCCCGGAGGACAATGCTCGGGAGATGGATCTGTAAGCTTGAATGTTCTATCATTTCTCTTAATAAAGGGCATGCAAGCTCTGCTTATAGATGATATCTTTACAACACCATGCATCAGATTATTCCACCAAGAAACTTTGACCCTTTTAAGATCAGCAAAAGGCAAGCTGATGATAATTAGGTATCCCTGTTCATCCTCATAAATAGTTTTTGCAGCTGTAACTGGTCCATAGACAGTTCTCATTACTCCACTAAACTCATTCAACCAGGGTGGTTCAATAGGGTGCATCTCTGTATCATTGACCCTATCATTATACTGATTAATGAGCAAACAACAGTCTTCATCATTGCCATTTAGAAACAAATCCTTTTTCCTCTTGTTGCTGACAGGGGAGAGATCCATAACAACACCATTTGCATGGTTTGAAGGCCGAGTTGACAAATTTAAACCAGATCCATTAAGCAGTTTTTTTTGATGAGGCTGTGGGTGAGTTTTCAAAGCAGGAAGGGGTCTATCAAGCTCAAATTCTGTGTTAGTAAGGTTCCTCCAGGTACAAAATTCACTAGCTTCAGGCGGAACTGAGAAGTTCAGGTCTCTTCCTGTAAGTTCCATCCACCTCTTTTGCTCTTCTTCATCAAGACCCTTTAGATTGGGTGATGGAACAACCTCTATTCCATGCACACACTGAGGATTAGAAAGACCCCTATAATGCTTTCGCTGCATCCTATGTGATCGAACAAATCCCTTATCAGCACTAAATGGAAAAGGCCGCTCCCCTTGACGTGAATGCCCATTCATGTAACTCCTCAACTGCATCTTACCCAATGCATTCTCAGGCCTCTCCTTAAAAACCCACATATACATATTCTCCATATCATGCTGAACCAAAAACAACTCTAGCTCAAGATCTGACTTATCAAACCCTGAAACTCCACTTCCATCCCTTGTCACCTTAGCTTTTGATTTCTCATTAAACACAGGCTTAAAATAATAGCTAAAGAAAAACCAAGCACCCCAAACGCTATCCAATCTCTTGGCACATTTACGCCCGCTTTTGGACACAGTAACCAAAGTATCAGCCTCATTGACATGAGTTGCAAGAGCAACATCTAACATATCTAATGGATCAGAATTCCATGATTGTGGAGGACTACGCTCAGCAGACAGAGGAATAAGATTAATATCAGGTGGTCTAGAAAGAGCAATTGACCGGTTCATCTCTCTATCTAATTCCTCATGAGAGACTGAACTTGAATCCATAGATAAAACTGTTGATGGGTGGTGATTTTCGATAGACAAGCTTGTAAGCAAATCTTCTCCCATTTTCTTAAGACCTTATCCACTATAAGAGTATTCCCTTTTAGTACAAAGAACAACTATTAATCTCACTCTCACCAAATCAAAACCAAGCCCATCAAACCAACAAAAAAGGAAGGAAAAAACCCAATACTTTTTCACTTCAGCTCATCGATAAACATCATGAAAAAAATCACCCTTTTTCTTCCCTTATCCACTGAAAAGAGCTTTCTTGTTTTAGTCCACAAAACAGCTTACAATCTCACCAAATCAAACCCAAAGCTCATGAAACTAACAAAACGAAAGAAACCCAAACCATATTTCACTTCTGAATTACAAAGTAATGAACTTTCATCGATGAATATCACAAAAAAATCACCTTTTTTTTTCTCGCCTGAACCGGAGAGAATCCTATGAAAGGAAACAAACAGTCTTATTAATCTAAAGCACGAGAAAAACAAAGAAAAGCTGGTGATGAAAACAAGAGATATTGAAAGATTTACCTTCCTAATCTTGGCTTAGAATCCCCGAAAACAGAGATCTTCTTAGGCAATTTTCATCTGTGGCAAGCAAGGAGTCTAGGGCGAGAGAGAAATTGAAGAGGAATGCAAAGATAACGGCTACCGTTAAAATACCGTTAAATTTCGGCATTATTGAGTTGTGTTAAGGAAAAAAACGTCAGCGTTTTGCAGGTCAGTTGTGAAATAGCGGTGACGGCTCTTAATTTTGGCAGGAAACTACAGAAAATAAACTGATAACTGATAAGTAAATAGAATGGTCAAAATTGGCTAAAAAAAAAGAAGAATTGAATGGGCAAAATGAAACGGCGACGGATGGAAGATATGTTGGGAAGAAAACTAGGACAATTTTTATTTTATGTGGGTCATAGGTCATGGCCCTTTCGGGAAGCGATGAGCCAGATTTTGGTTGCAATGGGTCTTTATACAGGGATTGCTCGAAGGAGTTAAGGGCCCAATATATTTCATAGCTAGCCTACCCAATCTTGGGTGTGGATAGATATAGTAATTTAGATATTTATATAATGTAAAATATTAAAATTTATATGTTCGTATTATGTTTTATATAAAAATTTTATGTTATTATTTATGTCGATACAAAAATATGAAATATATTTTTTAATTTAATTAAATTCATATTTAGTTATTACTAAACTTTAAAATCACATCACTTTTGTATTTTATTTTTATATTATGTTAATGTCGTTTTTTTATATTGTACCTTAAATTGCCGGTTAAGGTGTAGATTTGATACTATTTGTTTTTTGGGTACTACTTTTTTTTTTTTGTTATGAGTTTTCCCTTACAATACATTATTGTTATTAGCCAGTGTTCTTGAATAATTGGTGGAGGAAAAGGAAATTCATTACACACTATAAACAAAGAACTTTAAGGGAAAATAAAGAATTTATGAACAATTTATTGGGCTAGATTTGAGTATGCTGTGGGACATTTGGAAGTAGTTATGCCTTAAGCTGGAGGGATATGACCATATGGCATACTCTAACCTTTTCAACCATTTCATTGTTCAAAACATTAGGTCATGTCAATCTATGTGGGACATTTTATATGCAATCCAATTTAATAGTCAGTTTTGTATTCGAATTTAATTCAATTAATTTATATATATAAAATAATATTTAATAAAATAAAAATTCAAATTTTACTAATTACAATAAGTAAAAAAAAAAAATCTTTTATTAGTCGCTTTGATTGTGAATGTCTAAGAGTTTGAACTTGGAAGGTATAGCAGCTAAAGGAGAGCCCTAATTTGCAATAGTTAGTCATGCTACAATCAAGAAGAATATAACTAAAGATTGAAACGATGAAGAAATAAATAGATTTGTACTGAACCAACATTGAGGTAAACCAAGCACATGCTATAACATGATTGGATTTGAATTCGATCCCTTCTCACCTAAAACTATGAAACTCAACTTTTTCAAGTTTTAGCAGTTAGAACTTGAAATGAAAATATACATTTTCTATTCGAGTAAAATCTAAATTCAAGTATTAATCGTATTTGGAAATTTTGTGTAAAAACAAAGGAAAAGTTGACAGAAAAGGCCATTAACAGGGAAATTCTCCTAATAAGGCTTTTAACAAAAGGTTGATCACATAATCAAATATGATAATCACCTTAGTTCACATATTCCATCAATACCCACAGCTGGATTTTCATGGTGTCTTGTAATCAGTTAGATTACCGCATGGGTAATGCAAACACAACCAATTGTTTTTTCTTTTCCAATCTTTTCATTTTCAAAACCTTTACGTGCCATGTGAGCTGCTCTCTGGAGCTATTGCCACTTCCACACACTTCATTATTGTGCAAAGATTTGCATATGGTTTGCTTTGCTCTCTTTCCTTTCAACAATTTTTGTTTTAGCAATTCAATTTGTCTTCAGTTTTCAACTTCCATAAAATAATTTTCGTCTCATTTTTTATTTCAAGTGTTAAAGTGGATTATTCTATATATATAATAAATTTTTAATATCTTATAGTCTTATATTCAGGTTGGATCATTTTACTTACTGTTAATTGGTTTTAAATTAATACTTAAATCAGAATTAAGATTTCTTTCCGTTACCCTTTCTTAATCTGTCATGTAGTACGCTTCATCTTTTTTTACCTACACATAATGTGATCTGTTAAAGTAGATTATTTCACATCTAATAAATTTTTAATATTTGTAATCTTATATTTGTTAGGATTTGCCTTGAATTTTAGAATCTCACATTGAAAGTTATAAGAGTTTTGAGTTTGTTTTGTATCCCACGTCTGAAGTTTAGTAAATATATAAGAGGTTTCATCCTTATAAATAAGATGTTTTGGTTTTGATTTGAAAATCCCAGATAGTTAGACACCAAGAGAATAATTAGGTGGGTAGGCTATTAAAAAAACGTAATTGAATTTTGGGTTAATTTTTGAGTAATTTTGTGACTTTTCTTATTCCAAAAGTCTCTGTAAAGATTTATTTGAGTGGATTAAGTTTAGAGTAGACCATTTTGAGTTAGGCCAAAACAAATATATTTGTGTATTTTTATTCTTAATTTGAGCTTGCTATTTTGTTAGTAGTTGTTGTGTGTGCGTGTTGATTTCCTAACAAGTGGTATCAGTGCCTAAAAAATTGTAATGTGAAGCAAGTATTTTAAGATATCCGAAGAAGGTATGTCTAGTATGCTTATGCCTAAGTTTGAGATTTCGTTATTTGATGAAAAGAGTAATTTCATGTTATGACAAATACAATTCAAGATCTGTTAGTACAATAAGGTTTGGATTAAGCATTAAAGAGTAGTATATCTTAGAGAATATCTGATAGTAATTAAAATAGAATTAAAAAAAAATCTAGTAGTACTATTAGATTGACGCTAACCCTAAAGGTAAAGTATAATGTATTGATAAAAAGTACTCCGAAAAGTTTATGGGATAAACTCGAAGATATTTATGCATCGAAGTTGTTAACTAACAGATTTTATTTGAAGATGGATTTGTATTCTTTAAATATGAAATAAGACGAGTCTTCATAATTACCTGAATGAGTTTAATAGATTAGTTTCTCAATTGCTGGCTATTTCTGTTGATGAGTTAAAAGATAAAGAAAAAGTTTTAATTTTGCTGTCATATTTACCCAAGTCTTATAGATTTTTAGTTTAGAATTTGTTGGTGGATAGGTCTACTTTGAAGTTAGATGATATGATTGCCTTGTTGCATGATAATGAAAGGTTTATGGGAGTATATAACTCATCACCTAGGAGAGTAACTAGCTGTAGAGAGTTTTGATCGAATGAGAACTCAAAAAAGATTGATGGATCAAGAGAGAGATCCAAGTTAAGAGACAGAGATTACAGTAACATAGATATTATTATTGTAGTAAAAAGAGATATATCCAAATATGCTGCAAAAAGCTAAGAAGGGATATGTCTGCTTTCAAAATGACGAATGATGAAAAAAATTGGATGAAAGAAATAGTGATACTGCTATTGTTATGTTTGATGATAATGATGTCGTTTTGATGACTTATGTGGATAAGACTCAGATTTTGAAAGGTGATAAAGATTGGGTTTTAAATTCAGTTGTTATAGTTCATATTTACAATGATATGAGTTGTTTTGTGGAGTTAGATGAGAATAAAAGTATGAGGATATTATGATTGCCAACAATGAAAAAGTGCAGATTCAAAACATTGAGAGTGTTCGTCATAGATCTCACAATGACGTTGTTAGGATGCTTCATCATGCAAGGTATGTACCAGTTGTAGTTATAATTTGATTGGTTTGGGTGAGTTAACTTTTTGAGAGTACACATACTATGATAGTAATGATTTGTTGAAAGTGTAAAAGAATGATAGTGTGATTCTACAAAAGAATAAGATCAAAAATCACTTGTACATGCATAAAAGAAGCTTAATTGCTAGGATTTCTGTGATAAAAAAAAAAGTCAAGCGTGTTAGCTTTATAGATACTGTTGAAGTATTTGAAGATTCAAGTCAACGAAGGATTTATTGAGATTTACCTTAAATCTCAGAATTTCACATTGAAAGTTATAAGAGTTTTGAGTTTGTTTTGTATCCACATCGAAAGTTTGATAAATGTATAAGTAGTTTCACCTTTATAAATAAGATATTTTTCGTTTTAGTTTGAAAATCTTAAATAGTTAGATACTAAGAAAATAGTTAGGTGAGTAAGTTATTAAAATGTGTAATTGAATTTTGAGTAATGAGTTTTTGGTGACTTTTTCTCATTTCAAAAGTCTCTCAATAATGGATTAGATTTGAAATAAAACATTTTGAGGTGAATCAAAATAAATATATTTATGTTCTTATTTTTTATTTAATTTTATTATTTTATTTATGGGTGGTGCACGTGCATATTAATTTCTTAACAAAATTCAGGTTGGAGTGATTTTAAGTTGGACGTTACATCACACATCAAGCAAAGGTTTTTGTTTCCATTGGCTAGTCTACACTATTTCTGTGGTGTTCAGTTGTTGCTGAGAGATTTTGGACGTATAAGGTAAGTTTTATCTGTTACTGAAAAATCCTCACATTCCTCATGGCGCGTGCTTTAGGCAAATATGCGTGGCCCCTAATGTTTTGCCAAAAGTGAAGGTTAGCTGGGGTCTTTTGGGTTTTATATTTTCTCCTGCTACTTCAATATTCCATTGTTGTTTCCCTTTGAAAATGGGCTTTTGGTTTGGCTTGCGCAACTCTCATGGAAGTTCTGGCATGATCTAAAGGTCTTTTTTTTTTTCTTTTTTTCTTACAACTTTTTAGGTATATCCAGGAGATGTGAATTTCCAAGCAAAGATGATATCTTTTAGTGGATTAGGCATTGGTTTAAGTTTGGTTTTTGGTTGTCTTCTATTGGCTCTTGTTGCTGAGCTTTACTATTTGCTTTGGTGGAAGAAGAGAATTGCTAGCTCAGAAGTTGAAGATGATTACAGCGACTATGCAAAGGAGCTTATTGAACTTTTCTGCTGGAAGAAATCTGCTTCTTTGCATGCAGCCACCACTAACAACAACAACCAAGATTTAGTTAAAGATCAAGTTACCAATGGTGCTGAGCCAGACCAGGAACTTGGCTCAAGCAAGGATTTGCCGCTAAAGGGTTTTGGGGAAGAAGGTGTGGAATCAGAGCTCATGAGACTTCACAATCTGGTAGGTCCACCGAGATTTCTCTTCACAATCAAGGAGGAAACCAAGGAAGATTTGGAGTCAGAAGATGGCAGGTCTAAAGGTGATAGGAGCAGAAAAGGATCAAGAACAAGGAGCTTGAGTGATCTTATACTAACTGTTGACACTCCTTTTCTTAGTCCTTTGGCTTCTCCATCCTTGAAGGCATCTTCCTTGAACCCCTTGGATTCTTATCAACGCCAAGGATTCAACCCTCTCTTTCAATCATCGACAGATGCAGAGTTAAATAAGCTGCGATCTTCACCTCCTCCAAAATTGAAGTTCTTAAGGGCTGCAGAAGAGGAACTTTTAAGAAGATTGATGCTAGAAGCTGAGAAAAGGTTACAACAGGATAATGGTGGTTCCCTTCAAGATTCTGGTCTTAAAGCTGTTAATAGTACACAATCTTAACAGAAGAGGCAGAGGGGTCTTTCCTTAAATTCGTTGTTGGTAAGAACAGAAAACCTCTCCAATATTTACCACAATACGCTCCAGGTTCTTCTCAGGTACTGCCATTGACGGCTTCTCCTGCAATATTCAGACCTCTAGACAAAAAAGACAATGTTCATTAGGTTCCTGCTAGATGAGTTTTTTTTATTTATTTTAATTTATACTTATGTATTAATTTAATAAGTTTCCAGAATAAAAAAAAACACTTATTTTCTTCTTTTTATTGGGGGGGGGGGGGGGGTCGAGGGGGAATCTTTTGGGGGTGAGATAGCCATGACCAATCTGCAAAATTTTGTTAGGCAAGGCATCTTGAATTAAGCCAAACTGACAAATTCTACAGATTGATGTTTAGGATGTTGGTCATTCAAAGTGGGGGGACCAATCTGGTTTTTGTCCATCCTCCATGTTCCCTGGGCCTCACTTAAACTAGCATTCCTTCATGTGCTCCATTGTGCTCCATTGTGCTCCCAGTCATTGTCTAACAATTCTTTCCTTTTTACTTTACATTTCTTAAAGTAACTTTATCCTTCGTAGGTTATTTTTTCCAGTTCTGGTACAAGATACAATGTGTATTATACATCAGTAATAATAGACGTGAGCATGATTAAAGTTTCTAGGCATTGTTGAGACATGTGTTTACAATAATGGCAAAGTGTTGTACAGCTAATCCTTTTTTCCCAACTCAAACAGTTGAAAGTTATGCAGAAACTTTCCCCCTCTCCCTGCCTGATTACATTTGTTGGAGAAAATTCGCCTTTTGTTAGATGAGCTCCATCAAGTTTCTTTTCTGTTTTTATTTTTGCTAAACTACCATGTAGAACAAATGAAATAAGAAAGGGGGTAGGGACAGCACTGTGCCTAGAACTAATCCATGTTTCTCTTGTTTTCTTTCTGTCAGCCTTTGATCTCCTCCAACACTTCAATTGCATTCAGATTTTGACTGATAAAATGGGCTAGTAAACACAGAGGGAAAAGGAGCAAAAACCCTTCCTTAGTAGCGTAAGTGAGCACTGAGCAGAGAGTTTCATCTCAAGAGAACATCAATAACAAGTAAATTTAAGTTCTAAATCCACTTAGAACGGAAACAGGAAATGCTGAAAACAAAATCGAAATTTGGCCCTAAGTTATTATTGACCTGAATATCCAAATCAAGATCTCTTAAAATCCAGCTATATATGAACGAACAGCCCAAAAAAAGAAAAAAAACTAGAAGGACATGTTTGTGTTTCATTCCTCCTAGTCAACCTCCTCAATCTTGGGGCCAGCTCCACTTCCGCCAGCTGGAGGTGCATCAGCGCCGGTTCCACCATCTGCATCACCACCAGCACCTTGGTACATTTTGGCAATGATGGGGTTGCAAATGCTTTCAAGCTCCTTCATCTTATCCTCGAACTCATCAGCTTCAGCCAGCTGGTTGCTGTCCAGCCAATTGATGGTCCGCTCAACTGCATCCTCGATATTTTTCTTGTCAGATGGATTGAGCTTAGCACCAATCTTCTCATCCCTGACTGTGTTCCTCATGTTATATGCATAATTCTCCAATGCATTCTTAGCCTCCACTTTCTTCTTGTGATCCTCATCCTCTGATTTATATTTCTCTGCTTCTTGAACCATCTTCTCAATCTCTTCCTTGGACAGCCTGCCCTTGTCATTGGTGATTGTAATCTTGTTCTTTTGCCCTGTGGTTTTGTCCTCAGCAGAGACATTCAAGATGCCATTGGCATCTATGTCAAAGCAAACAGTGATTTGAGGCACACCCCTAGGAGCTGGTGGAATGCCAGAAAGCTCAAATTTACCAAGCAAGTTATTGTCCCTTGTTCTTGTTCTCTCACCCTCGTAGACCTGAATCAATACACCAGGTTGGTTATCCGAGTAAGTAGAGAAAACTTGTTCCTTCTTGGTAGGTATTGTGGTGTTCCTTGGAATAAGAACAGTCATGACTCCACCAGCAGTTTCCAGCCCAAGGGAGAGAGGGGTGACATCCAAAAGAAGCAAATCTTGAACCTTCTCATTGCCCTCACCACTCAAAATGGCAGCTTGTACAGCCGCACCATAGGCAACGGCCTCATCAGGGTTAATGCTCTTACAGAGCTCCTTTCCATTAAAAAAGTCCTGCAATAGCTGTTGTACCTTTGGAATCCTAGTAGACCCACCAACAAGTACAACATCATGTACACTACTCTTATCCATCTTAGCATCCCTTAGGCATTTCTCTACTGGCTCCATACACTTCCTAAAGAGGTCCATGTTGAGTTCCTCAAATCTAGCACGAGTAATCGTAGAGTAGAAATCAATACCTTCATACAGAGAGTCAATCTCAATAGTGGTTTGAGCAGTGGAGGATAGAGTCCTCTTTGCTCTTTCACAAGAAGTTCTCAATCTCCTCAAGGCCCTGGGACTTCCACTAATGTCTTTCTTATTCTTCCTCTTGAACTCCTGCACAAAATGGTTTACCATCCTGTTATCAAAATCTTCTCCTCCAAGGTGTGTATCTCCAGCCGTGGCTTTCACTTCGAAAATCCCCTCTTCGATGGTGAGGAGAGAGACATCAAAAGTACCACCTCCGAGGTCAAAGATGAGCACATTCTTCTCGCCAACACTACTAGCTTTCTTGTCAAGTCCATAAGCAATAGCAGCCGCGGTTGGTTCATTGATGATTCGCATGACATTGAGGCCTGCAATAACACCAGCATCCTTCGTGGCCTGACGCTGTGAGTCATTGAAGTATGCAGGGACAGTAACAACACCATTCTTCACTGTCGAACCCAGATAGGCCTCTGCCGTCTCTTTCATCTTCATGAGAACCATAGAGGAGATTTCCTCAGCAGCAAATTGCTTCTCTTCACCTTTGTATGTAACTGAGATCATCGGCTTGTCACCGGCACCAGGGGAAACCTTGAAAGGCCACAACTTGATGTCGCTTTGGACGGATGCGTCACTGAACCTCCTCCCTATCAACCGCTTTGCATCTGATATCATAAAACCAGAAACAATTAATATTACAAATTACAACATATCACCAAAACAACCTAACATGTTTGATTTTACAGATTTGTATCATTATTCTGCATAACAAACATGTAAAGATCAGATTAAAACATGCACGCATGCATGCATGCCTAGTAATGTTATGTTATCTTACAACAACAACAACAACATTAAACTCGAAACATTCGACCAAAAAGAATCGAACAACTCACCAAAGACAGTGTTTATAGGGTTCATGGCAACCTGGTTCTTAGCAGCATCGCCAATCAAACGCTCGCTATCAGTGAAAGCCACGTAGGACGGTGTTGTTCTGTTCCCCTGATCATTAGCAATAATCTCCACCCTATCATGTTGCCAAACACCCACGCACGAGTAGGTAGTCCCCAGATCAATCCCGATTGCCGACCCCTCACCTTTGCCAGCCATTGTAAAACTCTAACTGCAGAGACTCAAGTTAGAAAAAAAAAACGACAGGGAAAAATAGAGTTTCTGAGAAACCGATGAATGAAGAAGGTTAATGGATTTTGAAGTTTGGAGAATGTTCCTTTTATGTTTGTGTAACTGTTTTGAGATCCTGACCGTATTCGATGGAGACGGGGTTTTCCTATTCAAACTGGTTTAATATTTCGTTTCTGTTATGCATGGTCATGGCTCTGGAAGTTAGGGCTTGTTTGGGAGTTTTCAAATCTGCATTCTTAAACTTGACAAGGATGAATTGCCATTGATAAAATTAGAGAAAGCTTGTGTTTGTTTATAAACTACTTGGGCTGGGCTTCCTTAAGACATTGTATTTTGTCTACAATAATACAAAGATTACCAATCTTAAATATCAAAAAAAATATTACATTAAGATTAGTATTTATAATAATAGCATTAGTCCTTAGCAGGTGAAATAAATAGTAAATAATTTTATTTTTTACATATATTAAAATAAAAATACTACATATTTAAAAATATATATAAAAAGAGAAAAAAATAAAAATAATTGATAATAATATTTAAAAAAAGAAAAAGCCAAGAAGAAGAGACAACTCTACTAAAAAGTAACAGGAAACAAAGTGGTAGCATCATCTAGCACACTATTGTAACTGATAATATTAAATGTTAAAAGCACAAAGCAAAAGGCTCAGACTTCTTTTCCTTTTCCTGTTGGATGTGGGGAAAAGCATCCTTCGCCCCATTCCCTTTTCTTTTCTGAACGTATTGGAGTTTGAATTGTATACTCAATTTCTGCCGAACTTTGGGTTTTATGTGCTGGTTTTGGGCTAAATTACCCAAAAATGGCTGCTTGATTGGCAATCATAAATCTATTTCGTAGCTGATAGGACAGGGCACTAGCTGTAGAACATGAAGAAGGGAGATCATTAAGATTTTGGACTCAAATTTAGACACGAAGAGGAGGCAAAAGAATTGCAAGTGGGAATTTTTAAGTTCAAAAGAGTATTTTGATAATCTTCCTTTATTAGAGGCTATTAGTAGATCATATATGAGTATTTTGATTTTTTGTGTTGATCTGATATGTACTGACTTACAATCATAATATTAAATAAGTTCCGCTTTGTCATTAATCTATCCAACAGGTTTTTCTCCACGCTAATTTATCATCCTCTAAGTAGATAGTTAACGTTCAAATAAGCTCGGTTTGTCAAGTCATTTCAACGTTGGGCAGGTTCGGGCAACTTAAATTGTCTCAAATCACTTACTTTTCATTTATAAATAGAACCATCATGGTATTATCTAATCTGGCTTTTTTCAATCCTTTTTTTATTTTTATTCTTCATCTAACCTTCATCTTTGATTGATTTTTGATTTAAGTCTCCAAGCATAAATGCAGGGAACACTTATTATCGTTTTGTTTAACTGACTTTCTTTCTCTCTTGTAATTTCAGAGTTCTATCTTTCAGCTCATACCTCGACACGAACAGGAACAATGGAATAACTTTTTGTTTTGAAATCCGAAGAATTAATACAAAAAATGAGCACGCTTTGGCTGATGTTAGCCATGAATGATACCGGAATAAGTTAGTACACTGGTATAATTGAACCTGAATACCTAGAAATCTCTCTCAAGGATGTTGATGAATCATGGTCAGATTCAGACAGAACATGAGAGCTATAGCTTAGCTTCTCTTTCAGTGGTTTCGGTTTTGGTCCTCTGAACTTCTGCTAGCTATAAGGCAATGCCCTGCCCTTGGTTATTATATGCCTGCTCTTCCCTGGGAAGCTATATAGAAGTGAAAGCGTAGCATCTCATTGGTGTCAGATTTGCACGTGCAATTATGAGGTAAAGTTTTGGTTACAAGGGCTGAGGGGTCGAAATCCAAAATTTAACAGATTTCTGTCTTCGACAGCAGACAAGGTACTCTGTCTCTCTTTGCAAAGTGGGAAACCATGTCTGCTCATCTAGTTGACCCCCTCGAGTTGTACCAGTTTCCATGAGATGTAAGATCCATATAAATACAAGCCCTGTAAGAAAAAAAAAGGTAGGGAATGAATGGGGATTATCTTTTATATTGCATCAACGGAGGACATGTAATTTCTCTTCTACAAAACCCTAATTGATTAAAAATTAATTTGGATTGACGATAGATATTGAAAATTAATGACAATAACAATGAGAATAATAATTGTAGTAGTGAAATTGAAATATATATGTATGTATACAAGACGGTAGATATTACATCATATGCAAAGAAAATCAAAGCATAATTAAGGTTTAAGTCAGTTAATTTGTATAATTATTTTTTAAAAACATTTTTTAATAAATTTAAATTTTAAATTTCAATGCCTATAATCATTTTATTTTTACGATTTTTTTTTGTTTATAAAAAAACAAAGCAAAGAGCTAGAAAGATTGAATAATAAATTAATAATGCCAGTAAAATTAAATACAAAACTACATGCACGTGGGAGATAAACTAAGACCCCACTCAAGAATTAGAGGCTGGGGAAGAATTACTCTTGATTAAAATCTTATATATGGTGTGACTATTAATTAAGAAATCGTGAGTTTCTTTAAATATTCTCTTTTCAAATTAATTAAAATTTTTTTTAATATTTGAAACTAAACCTTAATCATTAAAATTAAAATTTTAATATTTTATAAAAAAATGTGATTATCGGAAAATTCATTAATTTTAAGTTTATGATTCATAATTGGTATGCATGATAAGGCATGATATATAATAATATGATTTTATCTTTCCTTTTGCAATTTTATGAAAAGGACAGGAGTGAATTATTAATTTGATGATAATAAATTTGATCAGAAATTTGATAGATGTCACATTCAATTATCCAATAAGAGTTGAATATACCCATTTTACCTCTTTAATTTTACTCAAAATAGGTAAGGCTAGCTAATTTGTATAAGAAAAGTTCTTTTTTAAATTTCTTCTTATATTGTAGGATTTAATAGGTCTCTCTTGAAAGAAATACTAACCTTCATCAATAATTCAAAACTTTTTAATACAATTTTATTCAATGATACTTTGATTGAACGTTAATTAGGGCTAATTTATCACTACGGGAGCATTAAGTTTAGTTTGAATTTATAATCAGTTGGTTCATATAATTATTTTAAAAAGATAATATCTAATAAATTTAGATCATATTTATTATATAAGATGATAGATAAGATAAGATGATAATCATACTATATTGTATTTGATTTATATTACAAAAAGAGATATTATTAAAAAGAGGATTAATCATCCTATTGGCATAGGATGATTTAATCTTTCTAAAGTGAAAAAATTTATTTTAATTTATGAGATTGAATTATATATCTTATTATATCCTTAAAAATTAAATCAATAATTTAAATCATATAAATTTTAAGAAAGGATAATTTTGATCAATATATAAAATTATCATATTTTAATTCTTATACACATTAAATATAAGATAAAATGATATTATTTAATTTAATTTTATCTTATCATATCATAATTTTATACACCCAACACGCTTTTAAATTACAGATCTCACTATTTATAACTCATTCTCAACTTATCCCTGAGTTGTGCACTTTCCTTTATGTAGGAAGAGAGTGCCGGTGTCGTTGGTATTAGTCTTTTCTTCATTATCCAAATAAACCGTTTATGTTCCATAGATTTTGATTAGAAAAGTATATTATGCAATAGGAACGACGCCCTTAGCCGACTTGGCTTTGGAATTCCTACCATTAGCATCTCATGACAAAAAGAAGAAAAAAGATTATTGATGTTGATTTTCCCCTTTGTCGCCACATTATTTCACCAAAAAAAAAAAAAAACTTCTAAGGCATAGAGTATATGCCGATTTTTCTTCACTTGGAATGTACGTTGTTCAAGGATGATTTAGATGAAGGAGAATAAGATAAAGTTGATTTGATTTCTCGTTATTAAGGGAAGTAGGGTCATGGCTTGCCGTATCAGAATTTTGGGAAATAGAAAGAAAGGTATCACAGATAATGACGGATCATAGCTAATGGGGTTTTTTTTTTTTTTGGTTTCTTTTAGTTGGAAAATAGAGTTACGTACTGTAATTAGCCTATTTGTTTCTCATTCTCACCCCTAAGGAAGAGGAAAAGCAAAAGTTTTCTTTGTTATCTTTACTTTTATAATAGTAAGGCTAAAACCTAATTAATTAAACAACTTTTTACCCTATCACTCAAAAATACAAAACATATTTTTTAGCTTTCGTCTAACTTATATACAATTTTATTAAAAATTAAATCATCATTTTTTTATCATGTTATTATATTATATTTAAAGTTATCAAATTCATATATGAAGAGAAAATAGAAGGGACGAAGAAAATTCGAATCTTGAACTTCAATACTCCTAAAGAAAGGATAAACATCGCTAAATTAAGTCTAAATAGTTGAAATCGTATTTTCGGTTTTAAAATATTTTGTATATGCCCAACCTTTAATGTTGTTAGCTTTGTTTTTGGAATATTTACTAAATCATACATCGAAAACATTACTATATGTTAAAGTTAAAGTTAATGATATGGTACAGTAAGGTTTGGTTTGCACATTCTTAAATTTAATTATTAATTACCAGGGAGCATCATGTTGATAAGGTCAATATGCTATTTGTTTTTAGTATAACAAAGCATCATTATAAAGGAATGTTCATAAAAGTATTCTAAAACATTTTGAGGTATTTGTAACCAACACATAATATCAACTGATCGTAATCATGTGATCTTTCTTCTACAAAAGAAATCTCTTTATCTTGAATCTCTGCTTTCCATTTGAGCTATATTAAAAGAAATCGAATACGTGTTTCAAAGATAGACAAATACCTATGATTCGTTATTACGAACATATATATTAGCAAATAGATGTTGATTATGAACTCAAAATTTTAGTCGGTTCATTCAATTATCGATAAAAAATAACATTCAACAAGTTTAAGTTTTATTTATATAAAAAAACCTTAATTATGAAGATGAATTCTCTCCTAATAAATAAATACTTTGTAATTTTAACCCAAGGTACCATTGAAGCCAATATTAGTAGCACATTAAACCAACCATGGATGTAGGATGAATGAAGGGTAAATTTAATACTCCCTCTCTCCTTTTTTTTATTTTTTAATCCATTTTTCCTGTTTGAAATGTCTCAAAATTATGTTTTATTTACTTTTTTGAATAGTTAAAACTCTTACTTATTTTAAAATTAATTTTTATGATTTTTTTATTTTTTGACATTAAAAATCATAGAATTTTAATTTTATAAAAAATATTAAAATTTAATATTAAATGCATTAAAGTAAGAGCTTTTTTTCTTAAATTTTGTGAAAATCAATATATAACAAATATTTTTGGGACGGAAGGAGTAGTTCCTTGGCTATATATTATATATATAGTTCATTGAATATAGAGAATAACTCTTTTTGAGTATAGAAGTCAAATTCTTTATTGAAGAAGATATGTATGGATGGGTATGGTTCATGTTAATTTCCCATTCCATCTTCTTTAATTTTTTCCAGCTGCCCTCTCACCAAACAAAGTAATTTTCCATAATTTCTCTCCACTTTCTCTATTTGCTGTCTCAATCCAATAAAAGGAGGACTCAATAGAGAAAGAGTAGAGGAATAATTAACAAGGGAAAAGAGAAGAAATACAAATTGCAAATTGCCATTGGTGTTGCTCAAATATTTAATGCATGGTCTACGCAATAAAGTTTAAGTACAACAAAGAAAATTTTCTGCGTAAAAAGTTGATGAAGATTGAATACACCCATTGTCTTTTTCTTTTTCGCTTAAATTGAAATTGACTTTAAAAGATCTTATAGCACTATAGAATTCGGAAACGACAATTTTGTGATGGTATTTAAAAAAAAAAAATTTGTGTGATGAGAAAAAATTAATAATATATACATATTGTATGTATGTTTTTCATGCCTATATAACTTTTCTCTTGGAAAAATCAGTTATGTTTTTGAAAAAAAATAATGTATTAACCGACTATTTCTTAAATCAATTAACATTTAAAAGTTACGAATTTGAGAAAAATTAAGTACATAATGTCCTCTTTAATCAAATATATAATAGGATAGGGAGAATTTTAAGGGTAAATTAAGAACTAAAAAAAAATAATGTAATAAAGAAATCTTACTTAATTGCATTTTATTTATAAATGTTTTCTTTTGTTGAATGGAGGTTGAAGATTAATGTAAGACTCGATGGTGAAGATTCAATCTCAGGAGAAGAGCAGCCTACTGCTTAAAGAGGGCTGTGGGAAAATAGACCAAATGGCTTGTTACTTTTGAATGATTATGTTATTCTTAAATATTAAATATATTAAGCCATGGCCAAAAGGAAAAGATCAACATACAATTATGGCTTTTATTAAAAAGTTGATCATAGTTTACAAGGAAAATGGAAAATTCATGGGAAACTCGAGAATACAACTGTAATAAAAAAAATCATATTTGACAAATTAATAAATTTTCATTAAAAAATCATCAATATGGTAATAGTTGAGCATCTTATTCTTTAATAAATACAAAATTGAATTAAACCGTCCTTTTCTTCCAATAAAACATAAGTTATATATATATATATATATAATTAACATTATATATATACATACACACACATGCATATGAGAAGGATTAATTTACACAATATAAAATTTTGTTAGTTTTATATTTTTTTTAATTATTAAATTTAATAAATCTAAAAGATAAAATTATATTATTTTTTTAATCTCTTAAATCTATTAAAATTAAAATTAAAAAAAATATATATTATGTAAGTTAATCCCTCACACGTGTGTGTGTGTTTGTGTATTCTTGGGGCGAATGACTTCCTTTGATGAAGAATTAGATTAATTCGAAGGTGATCCCACCATAAAGGCAAAAGGGTGATAATTTCTTGCCATGAGCTATATAAACGCACTCTATCTCCCCCCATGCATGAAATCTCTTTTTGAGCAATATTATAACAAAACAGTCCAGAGCATGAAGAAAGAAAGATTATAGGCGAAGAAAATCTTCGTCCACTCAAACCCTAAAAATATAATAATAAAAACAAAAAGGAGAGAGATATGAGAGAATGAAAGGAACACAGCAACAAATAAATAAATAAACAAAAGCCATCTTCTTCTCCTTCCCCCACCACCCTATCTTTCCATCTCCCTCCTCTCTTTTAATTAATTCTCTTTTCTCTTTGCTTTCTTGGCCTCTGGTATTCCCTTGGTGTGATTTTTTCCTAAAGAATCCATCAACCTTTATAAAAGAGAAAAGAGAGCAGCAAACAATTAACCATGGTTTTCTCATCTCATGATGTTCCAGCCTATTTAGATCCTCTTAACAGGCAGCAGGTGAGGTTTTTCTTTTCTTCATCAATTTCTATACACAGCTTCTGTACCCAAAATAAAAGATAATTAAAAAGATAAATATTCCCATTCCTTTGTGATCTTTTCCTGAATATACTAATATTTTCTTCTTTACAAATTGTAAAAATTGCTTTGGATATTTATGTATGTTTTGCAGCAGCATAATCAGCAAGGAACTGGCAGTGAAAATCCTCAGCTTCCACCTGTTCCTCCAGCTCCACATGTTGGAGCTGGTGCTAGCTCCAATAGGCCTGGTTCGATGGCTGATCTAGCCAGGCTAGCCAAGATTCCACTGCCAGAAGCAGTCCTGAAATGTCCACGGTGTGAGTCGAGCAACACCAAATTTTGCTACTACAATAACTATAGCCTCTCACAGCCACGCCACTTTTGCAAGGCATGTCGGCGGTATTGGACTAGAGGAGGTGCCCTTAGATGTGTTCCAGTTGGTGGTGGATGCCGAAGAAACAAGAAAAACAAAAGTAGCTCAAAATCACCAGCTTCAGCAGAGAAGCAAGTAGGTTCAGCTTCTGAAATCACTGACCATTTGCTACAGCAAACGCCTCATTTACCCTTCATGGCTTCTTTGCAAACTTTTTCTCAGTATGGTTTGGGAAATATTGGCTTAGACTTTAGTGGAATTCAATGTCAGATAGGGGCAACAAGTGGTGCTAGTGAGCAAGCTGATATGGGGTTTCAGATAGGAACTAACTCAGGCATGAGCAGTGCTATTTTATCAGTAGGAGGAACTCATCAGCAGTTCCCTCTCTTGGAGCCAACAAATGGTTTATATCCATTTCAAAGTGAGGGTATGGAAGCATCATCATCTGTGGTGGGAGAAAGCCAGCTTCTTCGTTCCATGAGTTCAAGCTCTAGGGTTTCTCAGCTAGCTCCAGTGAAAATGGAAAACACCCAAGGGCTAATTAATTTATCAAGACCACCGTTGGGTGTTCCGGAGAATAATCAATACTGGGGAGGAAATAGTTGGACAGATTTATCCGGTCTCAACTCTTCTAGTACTAATCATCTCTTATAGCTAGTTTCAATCTTTCTTGATAGACAGCAGCTTAAAGCTGATCTTGAAGCTTCAGCTGCTTCCAGTTATCGCAGCAGCTTTAATGACAGATAGTTGACATAAGTTGTAATGTTACTTAATTCGATCACCTTGATTCGCTCACATGCTTCAATATCAAAAACTAAATAATGGATAGTGAAATTGCAAGGTTCACTGAGGAACTTGTCTCATCATCAACATCTATCGACGAAAAAACAAAGATTGGCAGAATTAATGTTGTTTTGTACTATATATTTTGGGGTTTCTTAAGCTATGTCTTTGGTCTTTTGTTTGCATGGGCTTGTTTACAGATTTGTCTATGTTTGTGTCTGAAGTTATGGGATCTGTTTTCTGACTTCCCTGTGAAATATCCTTCCTGGTAACTTCTTTCTCTTGTCTGTTTTTGCTCTTGCATAACTGTTTGTACAAGGTTGCCTCGCTATGAAGAAAGAAAGATAGTCCTTTCGGCAAATCATCATATCAGCCACAATTCTGCAAAAATGTTCATTAGAAGAATGAGCAAGAAAATATTCTACTAGAGAGAACTTGGGACTGCCATCCATGTAAAAAAAAAAAAAAAGCTGAGATTGACACTGTTGTTTAAGTTGCATAAAATCATCCTAAACTTTGGTTCCTATATGTATTTTACTGTTTTTGAAAGAATCTTCTTGGAATTCTAGCTGAACAAGAAAGTTGATGAAGTCATCTACATCTTGGCTTCTCAACAAAATAGATACCAAAGTGAAATCTCTCTTGACACGATACATAATAACAAGCACCATCGTTAATCCCTATGATCTCTTTCTCTTTTAGTGATGATGAATTTAATTCACCATTATTTTGAAGTTACTATACCCAATAATCTCTTCCATGGTGTCTGGAGCATGTTTACGAACTTAAAATCGATGTTTCATGTTGCATGATCTGCACTTGTCGATTTCCGACATTGATTCCATCTCCCATGCTTTTCCATTTCCATTCTCTTATATAGGTACGTGGGTAGGAAAGCTTGAACTAAAGCTCCTAGTCTCGCAATTAACTAAAATTAGGTGAGTTTTTATCAAAGGTTTGTTCTTTTCAGTCTTTATCCTCCCCAAAGAAATCTGTTCACCTGCAGGCCATGCATATATATATATATATATATATATATAGCCATACGGGGCTTACTAATTTTGTTGGGCGTGGGAGATAAAAGTTTTCATGTCAAATCAAGACAAAGAATCCAAGGAAACGCCAAAAATCCCTCTCAAAACCATGCAAATTCCATTTTCAAAGTACCAAACTAAAGGGAGTGAAGTAACCTAGAGTTTTTATAGAAGGAATTAAAATTTTCTTTTAACTAGTGGATGGCATGGTCAAAAGAAGAGAAAACTTTTGAAATATATGGGTTGCTTTTTGTTTTCTTTTCTTTTAAGAGTGGTTATTAAGCTTCAAATGTGATCCCAGAAAAAGAAAGCTCAGATTAAAGAAATTAAAGGTGCAAAATCACTAAGTAAAAGAAAAATAAATTAATAAATAAAATAATAGTGTTAAAGCTCAACTAGGGTTGGTTTTGTCTTAAACAAATGAAAAGAAAAGGAATCAAAGGGGATATTTGCCTTTTGCAAGGACCAAGACTACTCCCTTGCAACAACTAATAAAGCAAATCCAAATCCACCCCCCCCCCCCTCAATAAAAAAAAAGACAGTCTCTCTCTTCGTGATAGTCGGTTGGGCATAGAACCTGAAAAGTGAAAAAAAAAAAAAAAAACAGTGACATTTTACATTTGGGTGAGAAATGAGAAATGAAAAAAATGGAAAGAGATGACAGAAACGTAGAAAGAGAGAGGGAGAGCTACAAAACTTACCTGGAATTCTACGTTCGTGAAACTTTTATTAGAAATAAGTAAACAAAGATTTTAATAAAAAAATCTAAATCAATAAATTGATAAAATTTAATATGAAAATTAATAATATGTAAAAAAAATTATTAAAAAAATTATTTATAATTTAAATTTAATTGATATTAATTTGACATTAAAAATTTTATCAATATTTTTACTTAAAATATTTATTTAATAAATATATAAAATTTTATTGATTTTTTTTTAAATTTACATTCTTGATCTACGTAACAAAATCTTTAATATATCAATTTTGATTTTTGATTTTGATTTTGATTTACTTATTTTTAATAAAAAAATTGATCAATTTTATCTATAAAACTTCATGTAAATTTTTTTCTGTATATATACATCCAACTTTAGCTTTTTAGACTCAGTTTTGTCCTAAAATCATAGCGAATGTCTGAAAAAAAAAATTAAAACAATGAAAAAACAACATTAAATACAAGCTTCAAAGTTGAGATTTGATCTTTTCTTCTTTTTCAAAATAACGAAATGAATGTTATAATTGGGTTTTAACTTAACCTAATTCGAAATGTCCAAAATATATATATAGCTGCTTGGAGCAAAATGATTTAACACATTGTAGCAAACATAGAATGCAGAATGAAATTCAAGGTTGACAAGGTTGTACCTGAGCAAGTAGATCTCCTTTTCACATATGACTTTGGAAACAAAGTTTGATTTCAATACAACAAACATCTCTCTAATAAAAACTGAGGATGATTACAGTCGTACATATGTTGTAATGGTAAAAATTCACATACATGTTAAGTACAACTCGGCCCTTTTCTTTCCCTTTTTCGTCTTTTGTTTCTCAGAACTTTGTTGGTTCTTTGAATTATATATTCTTCCACATAAACAAATGAATAACTTACAGGTTGGACAGGTGATCTTCCACCTCCTCTTTTGAAGCAAAGCCACCGCCTCCTCCAATCCCTAAAAAGAAATAAGGTGACAAATCGAACAAAAACTAAGGCAAATTGAACCTCAGCTATCAACAGCATTTGCCACAGAGGGTGACCGTGGTTGCTGAGTCTGAGACTGAGACTGGGACTGCTTTGCTTTGGCCTCAGCTAGCGCCTGTGCCAGCTTTTGCTGCTCAACAAGCCTGCTCATACGCTCAAGCAATTGAGCAGCCTTCCGCTTGGCCCTATCTGTACCGTTTTGCAACAAGTCCACCAGAGGACCCATCACCCCTAACTCCTGGGCTTCTGCTAAGTGTAGTTGGTCTCCGGCACAAAGGTGCACCAAAACTGCAGCTGCATTCTCTCTGTTCCTTGGGGATCCATTTCCAATAACATCTACCAAAATTGGCACTGCCTCTGCTGCTCCAATGGCAGACTTCCCTTCAGGATGGCTAGCAAGTATTGCAAGTATGGCCAATGCCTCATCCACCATTCCACTTCCAGGTTCTGTCAACAAATGCATTAATGTGGGCACAACTCCAGCTCTCACTGCTTTTCCCTTGTTCCCTTGGTAGATGCACAAGTTGAAGAGTGCTGTTGCTGCATCCTTTTTGCCCCTTTGAGTACCTTCACTTAGCAGTGTCACTAGTGGAGGGATTGCTCCTGAGGCACCGATTGTCACCTTATTTTCATCCACTACCGAAAGGCTGAAGAGGGTGGCTGCTGCATTCTCTCTAGCTTCCATGCTCCCCTTCTTAAGCACCTGGACTATACCAGGAACTGCTCCAGAGGATACGATAGTCCGTTTGTTATCTTCATAAATGGAAAGGTTAAGAAGTGCAGTTACAGCATGTTCTTGGGTGCGTGAGTCAGATGTTAAAAGGAGGCTCACAAGGAGAGGTATGGCCCCAGCTTCAGCAATGGCCACACGGTTATTTGCATTGCGTTTGGCAAGAAGACGGATTTCACCTGCAGCCACTCTTTGGTCTTCAGGATTGCTGGATGTGAGCTTACAGAGGAGAATTTCAATCTTGGTACGTTCAGCAGGTGAGAAGGCAGATGTAGTTTTACTAGGTCGAGAACTACTGGCTCTTTTGGGTGGTTCAATGCCATTTGCCTCACACCATTGAGCTATTAGACTACGCAATACATAATTGGGTGTGAGGGCAGGGCTACTGAGGGTCTGTTGTGTCTTCGGACATGTTCCATGCCCTTGCTCCAGCCATTTCTCAATGCAAGAACGTTCATAAGTCTATAGAAGAGAGTAATGAAAACTGTTAAAAATATAGCACAAAGATAATGGTAAACAAGACTTCAGCCTTTGCATACATGTCCAATTGTCTCCAAAACATGTGTTATAATATAAAACACAAAGTTATGAATGTCTTTTAGTTAGCATCCATGCATGGCAACCTCGAGTTTAGTTACCCCAAGCAATTTAAATAGAGAATCAATGTATGACTAGGACCATTTCCAGCAGTAACTTTTGGCCAAAAATAAATTAATGGCATGACAATATGATATGTGCAACAAGCTAGTTGGTAACCAAATAAATTTATCAAGCACAATGGAGCATTCACAGACATTTAAGTGACTAAAGGAGGGATAGGTGGTTTTCAAGACTGAAAATCATTAAAAAAATTAAAAGAAAAAAAATCTTGGTCTACCATGAGCTGGAAATCTACAACAAATATACCTGCCCTGTTGAAACAATGACAGGATCCTTCATCAACTCCAGGGATATTGGACAGCGGAAATCATCTGGTATAACTGGATTCTTGTGATTTCCATCAGTGGCTGCTTGCCCACTGCTACTAGTAGGAAGATTCTTTACTCTAGCAGGAGCATCCATGTTAGGATTTTCTGTCTGTACAAAATCCTTGATTTTCTTTAATAAGTTTGACATCTTCTCAAATGTTTCCCCAGGGTCTCCATCACTGGCAGAAACCATCTCATGGAGTGCTAGTGATTCTTGCGTAAGTTCAGCTATTCCCACCAATTGTAACTTCTTAGCCAATTTCCTTAGCACATCTGGATCTGCTGCTGCATCATTGCTCTTGTTGTAGAGTGATGACAGATCCTCATACAGCTCAACGTCAGGTGCTTCAACCCTTCCTTTAGCTCTCCAGAACTGAGCTAGAACAAGCTCAACCTAAACACAGAAATATTATACATGTAACCATTTTGAATTAAAAAAAACAATATTATTAAGTAACCTAACGTTGCTTTAGGCTTCTCAAACTCTGGCTGAATTGTGTTAAGAGTGGAATAGATGTAGTTTTGGTTGCTCTCGTTGAGTCTCTTCGTGCTTAGTTCTATCATACAATCTTTGGTTTCTCAAATCATTTGCAACTCCAGAAAAAATGCAATTAATCATGATTACTGTGATTGCTTGATGACAATTTGTTCCATGTCTAAGATGACTATGATTCAAGCAATCATCTTTAGGTCATACACAGAAAAGGACCTAATACTACATAACAAGAGGATAAGAAATCTACTGTGTAATTCTTCCAACCATATGTCTACTGATATTTTTATACCTGTTCCTTAACTTCATCTGATATGTCAAGATTCTCATACGAAATTCCACTCAAAGCCTGCTCCAATCGAGCTGTCACTTCATGAAATTTTTGCATAATCTGCTCCCTCTCTAGGACCTGTAAGCAGAACAAAAAAAGTTTATCATTCAATAGTCAAATGCAGTGACAAACCAGTTCATCAACATATTAGCGGTTTGGGCTAAAAGTTGTCACTTAAAGCAGAACATGATTTTCAAAGAG